AGGTACAGAACCAAATTATTTAATTAATTAGCTGCACATTCTCCTGTCCTCTGTCCTCCGGGCCACACACACACACACACACACACATACACACACACACACACACACACACACACGGAGCTGACTGTCTCAGCTGTTATTTTCGTTAAGGAGTGTGCACGTACAGCATGCACGCCTCGTGCACGAGCCTACTATTGAAGTTGCCATTACGCTTTTGGCCTGAGGGGGCAATCACGAGCATAAAAATTCAAAACTCTGTAAAGTCCCTTTAATAAATGTTTCCATTTATTGGTTGTAACACTTATTTTTTATTCTATTTTATTTTTTATTAGAACATTTATTCTATTTTCATGGCAAAAAATAAATGCCACAACAACAATTTAACATAACGATAACACTTTCTATGACAATAGAACAGGAATGAGATGAAGAATAAATCTTATGATCTCCCACCCCTTCCTCAATATTGCTACAACCTTAACCTTAACTATTTAAGTCTTGAATAAAGACTATGAATGTGTGGTTTGTGTGGACATGAATGGGAATTATTAAGGGGTGGGGGGTGGGGCCAACAATTTTCTTCGGGTCATGTATAGTCAGGTCTGCTTTGTAAAGTCATTCAAGTCATGCCAAGCCAAGTATCCTGTTTGTCTTGAAAAATAAATTGTATTATTTTTTCCATTCTCTGTTTAACCCTCTCAGGCTCAAAATAAGTTTTGATAAAAGGACGAACAACTAACAAACACACCCACATCACCCCGCCTCTCCTCCAGCTTCACTGGCTGCCAGTCAACTTCAGGGTTCATTTCAAGATCCTGGTTCTGGTCTACAGGGCCTTACATGGACAAGCACCATCTTACATTGGTGATCTACTTAGTCCCTACACCCCCAGCAGGTCCCTGAGGTCCAGTGATCAAAGCCTACTGGTTGTGCAGCACCAGGCTAAAGGTCAAAGGTGACAGATCATTTGCTGCTGTGGCCCCCAGACTCTGGAACTCTCTCCCCCTGAGCCTGAGATCAGTGGACTCAGTGGTCTCCTTTAAAAAGCAGCTGAAGACTCGCCTGTTCAAGCTGGCTTTTGTATGACCTTCTTCACCACTCTCTCTTTATTCTGCTCTCCTCACCTATTCCACCTTCCTCAGGATCCACTGATTTCCCTCTTTCCTGTTCACTCTCTCTCTTTCTTTACATTTTTAATCACAATTGTCTATTTGTGCTCATTTTAAATATATGTGTAAACATTTTCTAAATTCTTTTTTATATTTTAAAATTTTTTGTTTTTGTGAAGCGCCTCGTGATTTTTATCTTGAGATGCGCTATAGAAATTATATTTTCTTCTTCTCCTTCTTCTTCTAAGTCCTTCAGGGGTACTTCTGAGTTTAAAATGCTCATGAAATACGTATGTGGAGTAACCAGGTAGGCAGGTTTTATCGTTGCAAATCTGCAACGCCTGCTTCCAGAGGGTTAAAGTAATTTTTAAATCCTATCAATTTTGCAGAGCTTTTCCAGAGGTAATGAATCCAGAAACCCCAGCTTCTCCTAGAGGATCCAGTGCTTCCAGGCCATACATAATCCCTCCAGTGACATCTGAGTCTGCTTTAAGGGTCTCTTTCTGGCGGGACATGTTCCAACAACATCTCTTGAGGGAGGTGAAGGAAGCATCCTGATCAAATACCCAACTCATCTCTGCTGACTGTTGATGGAGAGAAGCTGCAGCTCTATTCCAAGCTACACTGCATCAAGAAGCTCCTCATTTTATTTCCATAGAGTTCAGCCATGGAAAAGGTTAATTTCAGCCAATCATGTTTTCATTTTTTTGATCATTATTCACATTTTGTGACCAAAAGCCTTTGATATTAGTAACCATTCAATTTTGTTAAATAAGATAGAAAGATATGGCGTTAGGGGTGTGGCTTTCAACTGGATTCAAAGTTATTTAACCGGGCGACAACGGTATGTGAAGATGGGTGAGTTTGATTCTGATTTATTGGATATTGCTTGTGGTGTCCCACATGGAAGTAAAGGTAAACTTCCTGTAAATATTCAGAAGTCACAATTTGAGAGGGGTGGTTAACTTTAAAACTCAGGCCGTAAAAACTACAAGGAAAAGTCTGTGTGTGGAATCAAACTTTGGAATCGACTGGGGCTGCAGCTCAAGCAATGACCAAATATTTATAAATTTAAAATCAAACATAAAGAACTAGTTTTATTACAGTGTAAGATTGAGGAAGCTGGTATGTGACTGTTGGATTTAAAATGTTGTGTGTGAAGTCTCTAGGACTGATGATGATATTGTAAATACAATCATTGTCAATAGTAAGTTTGTATGGGAGTGTATTTGTTGTGTTGATTCAGAGTTGATTGGTGTGATATTGAAATAACTGATGTGAATGTAATATGGGATTAAATAAGTATTACTTCCTCCCACTCCTTTCCGAACAAGGGCTATATGATTGTTTCTTTTGTTTTGGTTCGGTTTTGTTGTGCGTCATTTCTTATGTATATCTACATATTTCTTTTTTTTTCAATGGCTCTAAATAAAGATGAATGAGTGAATGAATGAACGAATGAATGAACGAACAAACGAATGAATGAATTATTTAGTTGATTGAGTATTCCAGTGCACCTTCTTCAATGGTTTTACAACCTCTCCATCATCAAGTTATGCAGAAGCCTCTTACTTTTCCGTTGCTTCCAGATGTAGCGAGGCAACGGAACACCTGAACCCCTTCATGACCAGGACTGGACACTTCTGCCACAGATGGAAGCCAGAACATAGATGGAAAGTACAAGAGCTTGGTTTTTCAGCTCAGCTCCTTCTTCACGGTACCCTCACTACTATGTTTATGTTTAAGTATTTAGCAGACGCTTTTGTCCAAAGCGACTTAAGTGAATTAATATTCACTTGTAAGTCGCTAGAACATTCTTTGATTTGAGTTTTAAGTGATTTTTTGAGCACAGAGAATAAACTTTCTACAATAACCCTTTTAATTTGTTGCTGCATGAGCTGCAGCTGCAGCTTGTTCATGAAAAACTTTATGTCCTTCAGGCGCCTCGGACACATATTTCATTCTCTTCTCTGATTGGTTGCCTCACAGCTTCGTTTAACAAGCAGTAAAACAGCCTTAGCTGTCACTAGAGGAGAGAAGACAGATTACTTTTTATCATTTTCTTCACCGCAACGATGTCTGAGGAACGGTCTGATAGATCGGATGGGCGGATTGTGAAGAGATCGACTACAGCTCAACTGCAGACCAGCGACTTCCAGAATGTGAAGAAATGGCTAAAGTGAGTGGCGTTTAGAAAGAGGCCAGCCGCCCTGGACTGAACTTAAAATGTACCTTTTTAGCAGAGGTAATTCTCTATTTTTGCTGATCTCAGAACACCCTGCTGATGGTTTGAGTTTAGTTATTAAGCTTAACTTATCTGATCAGTCATCATAATCAGAAACAGTGACACCTTTAAGTCGCAGTTCTCTGTGGCATGGACCAGTTTCAGATTGTAGCTTCTGCCTTTTCTACTAATTTGCCATTTAAAAGCTCAGGCAGTCACCCATGAGGACAAGGATCAGGAGTGTGTTGACCCACAGAAAATTACCCCCACGCAGTGTGTGTGTGTGTGTGTGTGTGTGTGTGATTGTGTGTGTGTGTGTGTGTGTGTGTGTGTGTGTGTGTGTGTGTGTGTGTGTGTGTGTGTGTGTGTGTGCGTGTGGCCTGCAAGGGATTATTTCGTGTCCATGCCTGGCGGAGTGTGCGGACAGCTTGCGGCTGGATTGATGGCGTGACGTCAGCGCACCTCTACCTCTCCAGAGGGCAGGATTAGTTGGAGACCGCACTCCGGTAATCTCCCGTAATAAAAGAGAAGGGGCGAACCACCTGCAACAGGCTATACCAGCCAGCGGCCTCCTCAGCATCCGGAGTTTGGAGCATGATGGGTCGATTAGTGACGCTGCGGCACGTCGATACGCTCCGCAGGTAAACGCAGTAGGTAAACTGGTGGTGAGGATTTGTCTACAGGCTGCACCGCCGGTCGTCAACAACTTCTGCTGGAGTGTCATCGCTATGCGTTATTTTATTTGTTTGTGATTTGCCCATCAAGGCACAAAGAATAAAATGTAAAGTTCGTGGAAAATGAGAACAACGCGCATTGTCTTATGTAAATAGAATAAATGCCATATATTTGTAATTTTAAGCATTCTGTGATGTGCATTTATAAACTGCTAAATAATTATGCATCATATTTAAATAACAAGAGAAGCAAATTGAGAACAACTTCGCATGCAGCGCCCCAAACTCCCTGCAGGTTTAATTGCTCCCAATTTACGCATCTAAACTGTTGTTAATGCAGCTAACCCGATTTATTTCTCTTTCCTCTGTCAAGTGGACAGCAATAAAGCCTGGCGCATCACGCCTGTGTCCTTAAGGGTTCCCATGCATGCCCTCTAGGGTCAGCTGTCACCTACTTGGCACTTGGCTCCAAATAATCAGATGAAACCCGCAGGCAGTTTGTTGAAGCCGTGTTACTTTTAGTGCTACGGTTTTATTCATGGAAGCAATTGTCTTTATTTCGCAGGCCTAATTACCTGTAATAATCAGGCCGCAGCACCCCCCCCCCCCCCCCCCCCCCCCATCCTCACCCACCTCAACCCCCGCTGTCACAGCGTTGAGATCAGACAGAAGGCTCAGATATGGATCGAAAACGCCCTGCAGAAACAGAAGCAGGGACAAAGGAAGGACAAAGAAAGTTTGGGAGCGTCGCTTGGGTGCCGCACAGGTATGTGGCGATGCGTGTGTGCATGTGCGCGCGCGTGTGTGTCTGCGAGAGAGAGTGGGGGGGATACCGATGGTTGCCACAGGATCAGAGAGAGAGAGAGAGAGAGAGAGAGAGATAGAGAGAGGGAGAGAGAGAGAGAGAGATGAGAGAGAGAGAGAGAGAGAGAGAGAGAGAGAGAGAGAGAGAGAGAGAGAGAGAGAGAGAGAGAGAGAGATGCGAGACGGATGTTTCTTGTGCGCGTGGCGGAGCAACCACCGTGCGTCTTTACGCTCAGAGACCACTTATCCCACCCGCTTCTCCCTTTCTGCTCTGTCCCACAGCCTCACCCTGCGAAGCCGCAGCGGCCACTCCTCCTCTGACACTTGGCTGACACACACACACACAGACCCCGCGCACACACTCCTGGTTGGACCATCTGAGTATTCATCATGAAGGAGATCCGGACAGAGTAACTCCCCGCAGTCCACAGCAGCGACCCACAACCAGACTGCGGGTAAAGGATCATCATCATGACCCGATAAATATCACCACCTCCTTCGGAGAGCAGGGTAGGACCTCCTGAGAGGAAAGGAGACGAACCGAGAGGCCTTGATTTGTTTGTTCACAGATGGACCGAGCGCCCTTGGCACTGGCTGCTAAGATGCGCTGGATCACGCTGGTGCTTGCGGGCTTGAGTTTCTGGAGCACAGTAACTGTTTCAAACAGTTTCGACTACGAGGAGCCAGAGTTTGATTATTATGAAGAGGACAGAGGGGAGACAATTGAATACAAGGATCCGTGTAAAGCGGGTGAGTCACGTTTTTCACTTTATTTCGGTCTCAGATCAAAAACAAGCTCGGGAGTTCACGGTGATCCTGTCTGTCTGCTTACGGCGAGGCACGTGTGTGTGATGACAGCGAGCGTGCGACTGCGTGCACGAGCACTAGTCCAGATGCCCCGTCTTCCTCTTCCCTTCATAACCGTTTGTTATAATCCGTGTTTGTGGTGATCCTGCAGATGAACGCCACGTGCGGCCGGTTACGGTCAAGCTAAGCCGCGTTTCCCCGTCGGGCTGTTCACACGCACGCGCAATGGGGCGCGTGCATCACCTGGAGCTGCGAACAGCTACTGATCTGTGGTCGGTGCGCGCCGACTGTTCTCATGTGTGCAGATGTTACATCAACCATCAATGGGTACAATAAAAAAAAAACCTGCTGAGTCAAAGGCAACATCAGTGGATTGCGCTCCTCTCTCTCTCCCCCTCCTCTCTCCTCTCTCTCTCTCTCTCATCTCTCTCTCTCTCTCTCTCTCTCTTCGTCTCTCTCTCTCTCCTCTCTCTCTCTCTCTCTCTCTCTGTCTCTCTCCTCTCTCTCTCCTCTCTCTCTCACACACACACACACACACACAACACACACACACACACACACACACACACACACACACACACACAACACACACACACAACACAAGCGAAACCAGGTACATTTTGGGGCTTTTAAAGACAGACTGCAAGCGTTCTTGTACCTTATTAACGCACCATTAAGATGTGGTTATTATGAGTGATGGAATCAGCAGATATCCAGGAATCCTTTAGACCCAGTTTGTAACTGAAAGCTTTAGATGCAGTTGTGGTTCCACTCTAACAAACTCAGTGTTATGTGGTTTACTCTGTCTTGGGAGCACACTGCCTATCCTGTGTGTTGCATTCCTGCTGGCTTTCTAATCACACATGTTAATGCAACTCTGCAGGATTAGCCCATGCAAGAGTTTCAGAAATTATGTGGGGAACTGCATTTTTACAATGTCTGAATGGCTGTATTAAATATCTGCAGTTTAATAAACAAAAACAATGTTCACACCAAATTACAAAATGTTACTTAACCTCAGACATTGGTTTTAAATGTTTAGAGTTTTATATTCCATATGTTTGTTAAATGCTAACACTTTCTGTTTTTACTCCTATAAGCACCTCATGATTTTTATCTTTGAGAGATGCTTCAAAA